TACTATTCTGGAGTTACATTGATCATTTTGTGCAGATTGAGAAACCATCTTTACATTTATCATGATTGACGAATAATGACTCCGAGCAAATGTTTGTTAACCGTCTCTTAATGTTTTAGCTATGACACAGCTTGGGATCCAAACTCCAGCCTTTTACTCTCTGGGAAGTAGGGATGTTTTGATTCAGTGTTTCACTTGCACATTCGGTGCATCGAACTGTATCCATTCATGAATTCAATTCATTATTCGTGATCACTAGAGTTGAATATTCATGAATTTTTTAGAGGTGTGTTTTGACTTGAATTTGATTATAGTATTTATCAGTAACAGTAATGTAGTCACTGGTCATTGGAAGAGTGAGTGAGTGAGTATGGTTTTACGCCGCTTTTAGCAATATTCCAGCAATATCACGGCGGGGGACACCAGAAATGGGCTTAACACATTGCACCCATGTGGGGAATCGAACCTGGGTCTTCAGCATGACGAGCCAACCGTTTAACCATTAGGCTACCCCACCGCCCCTGTCATTGGAAGAATAAATGAACACTGTCAACCTGTTCGACAAAATGTCAAATGATTATTTTGTAATAGTTTCACTTAATTTATTGAATACTACATCAACCACTGGCTTGTTATTGTATTTGTTATCCAATATTCGCATTTGTTCCCCAGTATATATATCAGTGATACATATCATATGTACCTCCTACTGGGTTTGTTACAGTCCAGCTGGTAACACACTCTATCCGCTTGGCCCAAGGCCACAGAGGTGGTTTGACAAACGCGTAGTCTCTGAATATATATCATTTTGAGAAACAAATTTTAAATTGAAAAGGAGACCCAGTGAAATGAGAGATTCAGAACCTGAGTAAATCTAGACTTCCTTCATCTAGGGGTTTAGTATTCAGGGAGGGCTAGGCCCAGGGGAAAATTATGTGGTTCAGTGACTCTGAGGCAGAACACAGTGGTCCGAACAACTACAGCTAAAGTGATCCACTTGGGATCATGCTGTCAAACATGAAAGTCAGGTGGTCATTAATGTAAGTCTATTATCAGCTACCAAGAAAATCGGGCTGGCCAGATTCAAACGCTTGGAGAAAACTCAATTCTAACACCAGAAAAATGATAACATATCTTAATAGTAGTTTTAGAAATTAATTTTGATTTCACTGGTTCATGAAATGTTCAGCTTGGACAGAGTTGACATGTGTATTAAAAATAAACTTGGTAGTCAACAAGGAAATCTTACTGGTTATTCATGAGTTTCACTGCTGCAGAAGAATAGCTAATTTCCCACTGTTAATCATAGTCTAATAAAGGCACAATACATTTGACTCTTGACATGCCAAGGAAACATTTCTGTCATCATTTGTGTCATTCCATAAAACAATAGCTTGAAAATATTTAGACCACTAAATATTTTATTGAAAATTTATAGTTCTTGCCATTTTAAAAATGGCATATCTCTGTATATATACTTGTCATATATTGTATAAATATCAGACCCATCGACAGGATGCTTGAACTGTCACACTGAATCACGATGCACCAAATGTTCGGTGAAATGTAGCATCCCATTGAACAAAGATCTACAGATCGCCATGACCTAACATGAAAAATGTTAACATTGTTAACTTGTCCTTCTCTCAGTCTTATAACCAGGAGATGATGGCATTTGAACAGGAGACCATTTACTGTGGTGGTTACCTTGGTAACTGTTATCTTAATGGCTGCAATGACAGAACCTGATGGAGATATTGATATGTTTATCAACATATTGCAAATGTGAAATCGATACAAAGTTATGGTCTCATCCAAATATTTAATTTCAAATTTTGATTGTGATTCTTATACATGTATATGATTCAGTATATCCACTGACAACAGTGCACGGGTTTTTGAAGTGCGTGGTATTCTCTACTACAAATCAAATCTTCATTAACAGCCAAATTATTTGGGTCCTGAATGTGTTAGCATCAAATTGTACTAATAATTTTTGAAAGTCCATCAAAATTTAAACAGTAGAATTTGTTAATTTCCAATTGCTAAAAAACTAATCTGTTCAATTCTTCTTACCTCCACCTTTACCACAACTATCACAGTCTACTAGTAAGGGACCGTTCATAATTTATGCGTCATACCAAAATATGGTACTTGTTGGTCCCTGCCTGGCGCTCGGCATTAATGGGTACAACAAGGACTGGTCGGCTCGGAGTCAGTATAATGTGTCTGAGTGGGGTATTGATGGGGGTGATGATGATTTTTATGGAGAAGCATGTACAATGTGAATGACCCCCCCTAAAATTTATGTACAAAATAAGTGACCCCCCTCCCTTCCCATAATTTCTAAGCATAATTTTAAACATTTTTTTATGTACAAAATTGCTGACAATCCCCCACCCATCCCCAAGGACGTGTACAAAATTGATGACCCCCTAGCTCCCCAGAACAAAATGGGTGACCCCCCTTCAAATCATCATCACCCCCTAGCCATAAATTATGAACGGTCCCTAAGAATAAGGCTCAAATGCTTGTCCATGTTGTCATAAACTTGAATGTTAAAAGTTAAAATGTTATTGTGTCCCTCGATCCAAATACCACAGACCTCACAGAATACAACCCCATACCACTCCTACTTCAAACACTGCTCACACCACATTCTTCACATCTATCAATACACACCTCACATTACAACAGCCCTTAAGGCCCCTCCCTGACTACAGATGTACCTCTACAAGTGTGCCACAAGCCATTAGCACTATGCCATGGCATGCTGACCTACCTAACCATCATTTCTTACATGGCCCACGGTAATTACCTGTGCTGAACATGGGGTAATCGTGGTAATCACGGTAATTATCATACATGGGTTGTCAATGGCAATCAAGCACTACCCTCTATCACAGAGGGTTTCAGGTTCCGTGGTAAAGTTCCTATCTGCCTATGGCCTCTTATCCAATGGGATGTTGAGAAAAACAGAGGTTTTCTACACAGTGATTTGCAGCATGTGCCCAAACCATTTGGATTTAGTTGAGAGGACTTGTCTTTTGACATTGAAGTAGAACTTGCATACAAACTGAGACAGTATTATCTAAGTAATGCTGGGACATCCATAGTCTGTCTCATAGTCCCTAACCACACTATTTCCCATACAGCCTAGCCCTCTCTGCAGTGCTTAATCCCTAAATGAAGCAAGTCTAGATCTCATCAGGTTCAGAATCTCTGGTCTCCCCGGGGCTCCTTTTCAATTTAAATGGGTTTGTTTGCTACTATCAAAATTATATATATTCAGAGACTAGGCATTAGCCTAGGACATCTAGTATGTGACAAATGGTGAAACAGGGTCTCACTGAAATGTTGGTATTGATATATCAAATATTGATATAATGACCAATAAGGAAATTAAGTATCTTGTATAGATATGTGTAATAATTATAAATTCATATGTACCTGGATTTAATCAACTTCATGGAAATGCAAACTAGACTGATCCATTAACTTAATGTTTAACTTGATTTTTCTGCCATTGTCCATCCTCTGGTATGTGAGGTAATGTTTGTTTGTTCAGTGTTCACGAATGGTGTTTCAAAGTCACAGGACATTGGGTCCTGTAAGTTTCAGATGTCTGTCTGACCCATTGAAAATGCACAGGACCCATGGAATAAACTTAAACACACATTTCAGATTTAATATTTCTTATAATTGACATTGAAATTATTAACAAACATAAGATTTATATACAGCAAACAAGTGTCACATGTCACATTTATAAAACAACTTCAGTCAAAGTCATTGTGAAATATACAGTCAGACACTGGGGCCGGCGGGTTGTAGACTTCTGTCTGACCGTTGGCGAATCTGCCGGATTTGTCAGAGGGTCAGACGCTATTCGTGAACACTGTTTGCTTGTTTGCTTGTTAACACCACACTCAGCAATATTCCAGCTCTAAGATGGAAGTCTGTAAGTCTTTGGTCACACACCCTAACATTGGTTGCCGGTGACCAATTCTAACCTGAATCCTGGTTGCATTGCAATCATCCATGTCCTGATTCACTTCAGAACATTTCAAAGACTAATACTCTTGTTAATACCTCAAAAGTTGAACTTCAGAATGGAATATTTGAGACTTCAGAGTAACTCCACATTATCTCAGTCCATTCTGGAAGATTTATTCACTTCCACTGACACTGGTGAACAGGTGAGAAGGGCATCTGGCTAGGGTTGATGGGTAATATAGAGCTTGTTGTTTACCGCTGCACTCAGCAGTACCTTTACGATGCAGCGGCTTGTAAATATTCAATTCTGGACCAGACAATTCAATTATTGACATCATCAGCTTTTTTCTACACAATTAGGATAAACATTAGACACTCTGACCAAGTCTCTGCCCAGATCAGATCGTTGGGGGATACAGGTGAGAAGTGTACCTTCAATTACCCCAGTGTTCATAGGTACTGTAGTGACTATATATCAGGTGAGAAAAGGGACCAAAGCTTAGTCTATCTTCAGCCAAATGTCACAACCATTGGTTGAGGGAACAAAATCAAAGAAACATGTTTCCGGATGTCTCAATGACCTGAGATTCAGCACATAGTTTATGTCAAAAGACTTATTTCCAGTTTTGTCTTCTACCTGTCTCTAACTGTGAAAACACCTATGGTGCAAATGTGACAAGACGACCCCTACTTGTGGTTTCCTCACACTTCACAGCATGCAGGGGGGTTGAGGGATCACTGGTCAAACATTGTCACGCACGGGTAGGTTGAACTTCAACCTTTGACACCTGACACTGTCTCTTGACAATGAATCGGGCCATCTGTGAAGTGATCCGGCATTTTGTGTGAGCATTTGCTAAACAACCTCAATGCAATAGCGCACATGCTTCGAGATACATGCAGACAAATATCAAGACACGTGATTCGTACAAATAAAATATTATCACACATGTCTAATGGGGGTGCGACCATCCCACGAACTTATGTACACAATGTTAACTTACACATTTTCCTGAACGGGTAAATCCTCGGGTTTGCCGTCGAAGCTTTCGGCGACGATTTGATGTTCGGCTACAGAAAATCCGAAATAGCTACCATCAGGTCCTCTCTTAATAACGGAGAATCTAGGGTCCAAGTTAAAGCCATTAGAAATCGCCAGTGCAGCGAGAATGTAGACACAAGGGCACAGAGCCCCGACATAAGCCGCCATGCTAAGAGTAATGAGGTCAGTGTCGCAGTTGTCTCCCTTGATGCTCCGCTAGGCGTGAGTGTAGGGTTAGTCACTCAGGTACTGTCTCACCGAACCCTTCTCTGATCTGATTCGACAATCCCGCTGTCTGACTCTCATGTCGCAACACAGTTAATTGTTTTCTTGTGAGACACTAATTAGTTTCTCTCGAAGTAAACGATGCTGGTGTTAATCATCATGACATCAACACATATTTATATCAATGAAGCGCGTGTCATGTATATTTTTCGAAACTCTTGTCAGAATTTGTTTTGACTGAGAATTTAACACTGATAAATAACTGGTCACTGGTGAATTTCGTAATTATGTTTGGCAAACACGCGAAGTCGATGTTTTGTTCTTATTCACACTCGATGATGACATGGTAATCTATCTATCTACCTATCTATCTACGTTAAAGTATTGCTCATGGTTATGAAAACTGAAAGGTTAATTGCGCAATGTTGATGTTTTTGTTCTTATTTACACCCAAAGGTGACATATTGTAATCGTAATCTACCTATCTCTCTGCGTGTATTCTATGTAAGTTAAAAATATAGCTTATGCTTATTAAAACTGACAGGTTGATTACATAAAGTTAATTACATACACGTTATATTAATTATACAATGTTGCATATAGTTCTCTACGGGACCCGTGAAGATCCGGGGTAGAATAGGTCTTCAGCAACCCATGCTTGCCACAAAAGGCGACTATGCTTGTCGTAAGAGGCGACTAACGGGATCGGGTGGTCAGACTCGCTGACTTGGTTGACACAATCATGTCACCGGTTCCCAATTACGCAGATCGATGCTCATGCTGTTGATCACTGGATTGTCTGGTCCAGACTCGATTATTTACAGACCGCCGCCATATAGCTGGAATATTGCTGAGTGCGGCGTAAAACTAAACTCACTCACTCACAAGTTCTCTACTGCGTGAATGGACAGCTGCCGCCTCTGGGAATTGCACTAGAAACATCTTCAGATACAGGGTATAGATTCAGGAATTCGCTGAATACCATGTATCTCTGGATGACAATCAGAATAAACAGCTGAGTTGTTTTTCTCCCAATGTGTCAGATGGACGATTAACGGTAATAACCAGGTGTCGATTGTTTAATTGACCTTGGGTATTCACTGGTGTACGGTCTACTGGTATGTTCCTTTGCGGCTGATAACTGGTACATTCCTATTTGCTGCGTTCCTAAGCTGCGTATTATTAGCAAACCCCACGCTTAAATTGCTCTCTACCTTGCGACCCCACAAGCATCTCTCTCTCTCTGTCTCTCTCTGGCTGTGTGTCTCTCTCTCAACAGCGCGTGTTCAGTCATGCAGTGTGTGTTTTTAAACGTTAAAAAAACGGTTTACGTATTACGTATTCGTGTTTAAAATAACAATCTCCATTTGTAACTTCAACCGAAGTGTTCGTTTAACCCAGAGTATGACAACCGGAACGTACCGAGGTGTGAGTTTGATTTCAAACAATACACAATTATCAACACACTTGATGGCACAGTTCCTGGCAGACGACTGTAATGGCGACGAAGTTTGGAATGACAATCATCATCCAATATAGCTCCTGAAACAAAGCAAAGTCCCAGCAGAGACCATAATATAATCTATTATATGGTATCTGGTCCCAGTATAGTCTATTCTATATAAAATGTTCTATACTGAGACTTCCTGGTCAAATACAACGGAGCTCACTGTTCAGGATGGTGTCCGTCCGGTGTGCAGGATCCGCTGATCGAGGGTCAGGATATGTTGGTTATATGACTAATAAGAAGCGGCAAAACGAAACGCGTCACTTCCGGTTTTCTATTCGCTTAAGCTAATAATTAAATATTCAATATGTTTGAAATGAAATATGATATTATTCATCTTAATTTGATGATAATAAAATAGACAACCCTCAGTGGAAAAGTATTTATGAACGCTCACTCCACTTGTCACACAGTCTGTGAACCGCTTTATGAAGCAAGTCTATATTTCTCAGATTCTGAATCTCACATCCCATTGGGGGCTTCTTTTCAATTTAGAAGGAATTCTTTGTTTCTTCACAAATTATATAAATTCATTGACTAAGCGTTTGTCTACGCTTGGACATGCGATCAACCGAATCTCAGGATGAGACGAAGCTTCACTGACCGTCGCCTGACTGACGTGACTAACATGAGCGTTGACGTGAGAGCATCCTGTTGAATCCGGTGCAGTACATCTCTACTGTGCCTCTACGGCCACCAGAGACATCACCGTCTCCACTCTTACACAGCCACGCTCGCTCATAGAGAGGATGGCACAACCCATTCATTGTACTTCCGTTTTATGCAATGTTCAAAACTTTCATATGCTTCCAAACGTCACTCATATTTGGAATATATTCCAATTACAGGAATACAACGAGTGATGGGCTTCACACACTGTACCCATGTGGGGAATCGAACCCGGGTCTTCGGTGTGACCAGCGAACGCGTAACTGCTTGGCTACTCAAACGCCCCAGGAATATAATGAACCCTAAATATACAAATTTTGTGGATGAGAATCATTTACGAGCTACGAGATGTCACAGAAGTTCTTAAGTAAGTGTGTTATTTTGAAATAAGTGTGTTATTTTGAAACATAAATGCATAACACGTATAAGTTAATGGTATAATGTGTTGTTAACCATTGTAACGGTAACGTCACATATAGAACGTTTGACGTCAGCATCAATGGATGACATCGAATTCTGAAACTAGTCACACGTACTGAACCCACTGGCGGATCCAGAGGCGTGTGAGAGAGAGAGAGTGAGTGAGAGAGGGGGTCCCACCCCTTTTTGAAAATGACCATATAGAAGTTAATGATTTGCATTGGCGGAGCGAAGAGGGCTTACACAAATGGGGCCTGACACTTCTATTTCCCAAGAGATTGGGAAGAAAAATGCATGAACCAGTACAAATGGCATTTTTGACGTTATGCGGACACAATACTGACATATTATTTAGTGATATGCTAAAGTTACGTCACATTACCCCACCCCTCCTGCTAAAGTACAGCACGGCCTCTTGTGTTTCTAAAGTGATCTTAAAGTTGACTGGGCTCCTGCTCCTATAATAAGCTGGGCCCCGTCTCGCATATCGCAATATACGAGCCGGTACAGGCCAAAGAGACGATGGCTGAGAAGGCCTACGAAAAGCCAACATTGACAATGTTATGTCATTTTCCATTGGTTGCTATTTTTAGACGGCCGCGCTGTCCTTCATCGGAAGACTTCCAAAACACATTTTGTATCCAAGATATTTTATGGATTAAACTTCTTTTTTAATATCTTGGACATCACTGTACAACTTCTAAATGCCACTGAAAGACAACATTTTGTATCGTTTTCAAAAATCGGTCATGCAGGCGCTTGAAAGACCTTTGAAAATATAAATTGTTCATAATTTCTGGAAACTTCTTTTCAAAAATTCTTACTTTCTGTTATTGTACATATTTGATATCAATGTTCACGGAAAATAATAGTAAACGTAAATATTCGTTTTATTTGCGTGAAAGGATCGTCGCTTTTAAATGCACACCCTAATTTCCCTATGCGACAAAGATTTATATTATAAGTTTGTCAGAAAACTGTAAGCGAATAAAATCATCTCTTCTGATGTATGAACGACACAAATATGCAGGTAATTTATACATGTGGACATCGGTCGAGCCACGCATACAAATTAAATCTCGTATTGCAAATAATCTAAACTTTCCTCGCGGATGACGTTAGAAAGGTATGTGTGTCTTAGAGTGGGTAGGTGTGCCAACACTGGCACAAAATCAGTAGTAAGGCGGAAAATGAATTTATTATATTTTGTGGCGATATATAAGTATTGAATTATTCACTTAGAAAATGCTGAATGTGTCCTGAAGACACTTTACTACAGCAACCAGAAAAACTTTTGATGCGAAGCATCAACACCGCGGCAAACTCTTTGTTTATCAATTTTCACCAAATATTAAATCAACATGGGTAGGCTTTTTAAGCAAATATGGTCTTGTCATCAATACAAAGTGGTTATATGAAATTGAGCAATATAGATAAGGTGTGAAAACGAAGGCGGAGCAAACTCTACTTGTTTTATAATGTAAACAAATCATCACAATTCAGATCTTATACTGTGTAGTTTATAGATTTATGAACGTTTGATAATTAGTTGGTTTGAACATACTTTTAATAGGAAATTGACAATGTTGGTGTTGTATACAAAATCTCGTGCCTTTAGACAAGTGTCAGCAGATCTAAATGTATTCTACATCTGAACATAATGTTATAGTGCGTCACAAAATACTTCCGCATCCAGTGGTTTTATTTTCAGTAATTTCATTACATTTGAAGATATGGCTAGTACTCTATTAATAATGATGCAAAATTAGTCAAAATACATCTACACTAACAGGAGAATATGGGAATCTAAGAACTAAATTATATATCAGATAGGGCCATCCAAATCGCTATTACGTGCTTTCTCATGTAGTACTTTGTCATCTTTTCTTATGAATTGTGCAACTATCAAAACATATCCGCTCACATTGTGGAACTTTGTACTAGTATAGTTTGGTTCATGGTGAACAACCCATAACGAAAATATAGCGTCCATATCCACAACAAATTCTCTCCATGTGATCTGAGTTACATTGACCTAGTGTTAAGCATGTGGGAGTTATGACCCTTATCTTTATACGTGTATGGCCTTCTCTGTCGTCGTTTGACGTCATAGAACAAAATCATTTTCGACATTTATTGCGAGTCATTTTTAAGATTGAGCGTATAACGTTATGCATAAGCACACACACCCATTTCATATATACTTATGTCGTTCAGATATCAGGCTGTATTTTCTTCGCTCACACTTTCCGTAACGATGCCAAATTAAAAAATTCGTAGCACAGTGCTTTCATCAATACACAATCAAAAGCGGTGATATTTACTGCTTTTTAACGCATAACAAAGATTTGGACAACATATAACAGTGTCTATTTCTCAAACCGCCGAGGTAGGTGCACTTATATTTAATACCAACGGATAGGAAATTTAATATTCTACATTTCTATGTAATTTTATAGCCATACGCAGATCCAGGACCACGTAAGCGCAATTTTCGCACAACGTTCACTTTTCTAGCTTTGTCGAACGTTAGCGCGCGCAAAGGGAGCCGGGAACCAGCTTACTCCTATAAGTGCCAGTGATGGAACCAGTTTAGTGTATAAATACTACTACAGTTCAGACTTCGAAAATATAATCTTATTTGACTTAAAGTCACAAATGATAATAGAAGATAGATATATAAATATATTGATATAAATATTTACCTTTTGAAAAAATTAATTAGATAAATTTACAGAACTTATTGAGCGATTTTACCGACACATATTATAACGTGTTTTCGATTCTTGAAAATTGTCGTTAGGTATGTAGTATCGTACAATAAGATACTTCCGGCTGTCTGCCAGTCGCCTACCACCCATTTCCACAACGTAAATGTGCGGTTGAGAGCTATTTCACAAACAGTTATGCTGTCCAATCTCGTGAAGCAACATCAGACTCGACAACAGTCCAGAAAAGAACTTCAAGGTTACAATGATGATGATGATTAGTAGCCAGTAGTTACATCTATTCTCGCCAGTTCACATCAGGTCTCTCGAATGTTGTTTCTCATTTTCAGTTATCTGTTTGTTAGACTGACGAAGTTTGCAATATGCATAGTCGTCTTTAGACGTATTATCAGGGGTATGGGTATAACTGTGTATGGATGAAAACATTGGTATGGATTGCTGTCAGGACCTCGAATAACCAGCCAACGATAAAGCAGAATCTCAGTGAGCACAAGTCGTTGGGGCGATTGCCCTCACGTGCTTACTGTCGATTTTTATCTGCACGACAGTTATGTACCTTGTCATTATCCAATGTTTAAGATTTATTGTGAGTTTCTATATTAGTTGTGAGTATAGAATACAAGAAAAGGTTTTACAGGAAGACACAGACGCACGCACACACACGCACACGCGCACGCGCACGCGCACACACACACACACACACACACACACACACACACACACACACGCACACGCGCACGCGCACGCGCACACACACACACACACACACACACACACACACTTTAGTTATGCTTCACTAATGAACTTTTGAACCGCCTCCGTGGTGTAGTGGTTAGAGCGTCCGCCCGGAGAGTGGAAGTTCGCGGGGTCGATCCCCGACTGCATCAAACCAAAAGACGTTAAAATATGGTGCGTTCAGCATTAATGGGTACAACAAGGACTGGTCGGCTCGGAGTCAGTATAATGTGTCTGAGTGGGGTATTCATGTTTCACTGCGGCATGGTATCTCAGTGGACTAGCACTATATAACAAGCTTCAGTCTGGGCTAGTACAAGCAGCCGCACATACACATACACACGCATGCACGTCGTCATATGAGCGAAATATTCTCAAGCACAACGTAAAACCCAATTTCACCTCACCTCACTAATCTTTTGTGGCTCCTATATCCGTAGTGTTCATTGTGTTTGGGTCGGGGTAGGTTAAGCCCAACTTTTTTGCCCTTGGATCCATGGATACAAAACATAAATGAACACATTCTAAAGTTGCTCCCCAAATACATGTTCAGCAGAATGTAAGGACCCCAGTTGTTTTTAAAAGCTGCAATTGATGCTGAATTATCTGATTAAAAAAGGGGCGGAGGGGTAGCCTAGCGGTTAAAGCATTTGCTTGTCACACCGAAAACCCGGGTTCGATTCCCCAAATGGATACAATGTGTGAAGCCCATTTCTAGTGTCCCCCGTCATGATATTGCTGGAATATTGCTAAAAGCGGCATAAAACTTAACTCACACACTGATTACAAAAGCTCCAACCAGAATGCATGTACAATGGCATAAAGGGATAATATAAGTTTCCAAGGAGGCATGTAATTGCTGGTCCACTCCAGTTTGATCCTAATCGGGGGTAAATATACCATCTTACCTACTACTTACTTTAATCCCCTGTCTGCGTCATACACAAAGCTGCTACTTGTTACTTTCCTATCATTGTCTCTAAAGGTATAGAACAAGGAGTGGTTGACATGTCCTTAGTATTCTGAGTGAGTTGGTTATTAGTGTTAAATCATATCACAGTGGCATGAGGCTGGACTGAAGCTTGAAGGCCAGTAGCGTTCAATAGGGAGAACCTTGTTCAGTTTAATCTTTACTTCCAATACAGAGGATCTGTGCTTTGAGTTTGTTTAATGTGTCTCTTGTGACTGTTTTCAGAAAGGAGAAAGAAGGATGCCATTGTAGCAGCGACTGCTCTGTCCCACGTTCTGGTCGATCATCTGAATGCAGGGTAAGATGGCTTCCCAGGACAGTAGTTTCCCTGGTAGTTGGAAGTCTAATTTTATTTTCATATTTTCAAATTCAGACTTTGTATTGTAGAAATATATTGTAGCAATGTCTATTTCATATTATGCTTGTTGTATAAGCTGCTGTTCTAAATCTCCATTAGAGGATATTTTCAAGGCATATAAAAGATATGTAGGCCTTCAAACTTCACTCTAGTTTGTTGAGATAGCAGACCTGTGGACAAGAAAAAATATATATTACTGGTAGGTCTCACTATGAATGAGTTCTCAATGCTTCAATTTTATTACCTTTGAACTGATTAGAACTGATAATAACATGTTAAAGTACATACTCTGTGTGCTAGTGAAATAAGATTGCCACTAGATTTTACAGGCTATATATATAATTAAATATGCATTCATTGAAACTGGAGACCTATGTATCTTTATCATGTTGCAGTGTTGCTCAGGCGTATGTAAATGAGAAGAAGTTAAATACAGAAACCAAGATCCTGCAGGAAAATGCTGCCCAGTTCTCCAAACAGACCATGCAGTGGCTCAAGCTAGTGGAAGATTTTAATACAGCCCTGAAAGTGAGTTGTTAACCAACATTACTTATAGCAAACACTGGGCTTGAGATTAGTAGACTGACTGACTTTCCATTGTTAGAAAGCTGGTAATTTGTGAGTGTTTATCTACACCTGCTGATAGGTCATGATTCAGCCCCATGTCATCAGCAATTTTTCAGGAAAGAGTCTCAAATTATGAAAGAAGAATTTTCTTGTTTACACTTATACTAAATACTTGTGAGTGTACCAGCCCAAGCTATGATTCCTTATAGTATTCATAAGATGTTTTGATAGTATGGGACCCATGAAGGTCCGGGTTAGAATATTGATCTTCAGTAACCCATGCTTGTTGTAAGAGGTGACTAATGGGATTGGGTGGTCAGACTCGCTGACTTGGTTGACACATGTCATTGGCTCCCAATTGCGCAGATCAATGCTCATCAACATGCTGTTGATCACTGGATTGTCTGGTCCAGACTTCGATTATTTACAGACCGCCCATATATAGCTGGAATATTGCTGAGTCGCGTAAAACTAAACTCACTTGATAGTATGAAGAGCATAATCTTAGGTATGCTAAAACACTATCAACCGAGTCAATGAGTCTGTGTGCATCATATTGTAACTTTTTCAAGCATATTACCGGAATATTGCTGGGAACCGATCCTAATCTTACTCTCAGATAGTGGTAATGAATGATTTATTTTTTTAACACAATTCCACAGGATCTCATGGAACATTTTGATATTCCAGGAAATCGGTGATGTTGAGAACTGGGCCAAGAGCATTGAGACTGACATGAGGACAATATCAAGTGCTCTGGAATATGCCTACAGGAAAAGTACGTCAAGCTGATGCAGGTTTAACCCACTGTCAGTACTCCATGCACTACATTCTTTCATCATGCAGAAATATTTGAGTTGTATGATTACGTTTAGGTCAAGACGGTATAAGACAAGCATAACTTAAGCTGATGTTTGTCTGATAACCGTTTATCATGGTTGCTTGTCAAAGGGAAACAATTGAGTTAATGTGCCATATCATTTGAGTTAGTGAATGAAATATGAATACTGATGAAGTAATAGTTTCTTCCAGAATGCAGCATCATTTGTCACATCTGACATGTGTTTGTGTGGTGTCCTTACATCGGAGACCACCTCCGTGGTGTAGTGGTTAGAGCGTCTGCCCGGAGAGCGGAAGGTCGCGGGTTCGAGCCCCGACCGCATCATACCAAAAGACGTTCAAATATGGTACTTGTTGGTCCCTGCCTGGCGCTCGGCATTAATGGGTACAAGGACTGGTCGGCTCGGAGTCAGTATAATGTGTCTGAGTGGGGTATTCATGCTTCACTGCAGCATGGTATCTCAGTGGGCTAGCACTATAAAACCAGCTTCAGTCTGGGCTAGTACATGCAGCCACACATACACATACACACGCATGCACGTCGTCATATGAGCGAAATATTCTCCAGCGCGACGTTAAACCCAATTTCACCTCACCTCACCTTACATCGGAAGAGGTTTGAGACGCATGAATGTCACTAACGTCAGTTTCCCTTCTGTTTACCTGTTGATTGTTGCCCAAGTAACACTCATGCTGTTTTCTTTCATCAGGTGAATAGAGAACCGATAAAGGAGATGTTTCATGAATCAAGCATTTTGGACAGTACTGAACATTCCTGCCACATGCAAGACGTGGGATATATAAGCTGGCGGTTTGCTGAATACTCAACAAGGTCCCTGCCACATGCAGTCCTTGTCACAGAAATATATTTAGAGTAAATTGTAGCTGAAAATAAGTATGCAATTTTGTCATCTAGTGTTATTATGATTACCTTTTTTGAAATTTAATCTATGTTCCTCGTTGAAGATTCGTTATGTAATACTTAGACCAATTGAAGAACATGTGAGAGGTCACACATTGCCCAGGTCTCGAAAGATGCCTGTGTAGAAGTCATGTTTCTCAGGAACATGTTTTCCTGGGTTATATCGAGGGGTAATGTGTCTCCATTATATTTTAATGAATAACACAGACTCATTTGCTACCTTGACTTTGTTTCTGCCTCCAATTTTCCAATCTCTAGGGTCATGCTATTCGGTACAAGTTGGGCTTTAATGAGTCTATGGTGGTGAATGGGTCCAGGGTGTTAATCAGATAACAAAATAATACCTGGCTAATAGAGGATGTCACCTCTCAGTTGCTGAAAAATTGTTTTATGCCATTGTGTCAGTCTCCCTAAAAGGTTTGAAATATGCTGAGAGAATTTGTGCATTTTGGGTTAAAAGTACACCTGTACATTTCCATTCGGTCTTCCATATCCAGTTGTGACCTTTCTAGCACTACTGGTGGGGATAACAATGCAATATCCCATCCTTGTAAAATTATGGGCACTTGTCAATAATGTATTGCATATATTTATCGGTGACTACAGATATAGTACAAGTTGAAGGTTAAGTAAAATGTCTGTCCAGAAGAGATGCACAGAGAAATGTTTTTGACTTTGACTTAAAAGGCTTCTGCACAGACAGATATTTTGCAACAGTACCTGATGTATACTGTTCGTGTTTATGTGTTCAGTGTACAAAGCTTCAAACTTGTCCGTGTACATGGCATTTTGTAACGGTTTTGTTGAATGCTATATATGGTCACTGTTAGTATCACTAGGGGCAACATTGGTGCCTCATTTCCAAATTGCAGAGTTACATCCCTTGGGCACATTGGAAGCCTGTGATCGTGGGTCTGAATATTGGTTCACTTTGATTTTGTTTCTGGTTTGTCAACAAGGTGATGAGCATCTAACACCTGCACATCAAGTTGACACGCTGTGATATAACAGTTCACAGCATATTGGTGTGTCATGACTCTTCTGTACATAGAGCTTGTCCACAGACTGACACAAGATTATCCCTGTATATGACGGGCATGCTATTTTGGATTAAAATGAAACTTGAGACTGTATTGTCACGGGGGAATTGAGAATGAAATGGACACTGATTCAGAGGGGTAATAATGCCAAAAGCATTCACTCTGTGAGTGGAATCTGGACGAGATGGTTGATCTTAGACAATTTTGCAACAATGTCAGACTTCAAAATTGAAATATATATTTATTTTGTAACACCAAGATTTCTTTTAATATTCATTAATAAATGAAGTTAAAGAACACCCAAGTCATTTACAAACAATTTGTTGCTCTGTATATTCTTTTGAGTAGTAAAGGTCTCTCTACCAGGAAACATGTCCAGTTCCAAAAAAACTTTGTTTCAATGTGTCTTTGACTTGATCAGAGGGTGTGTTTTTTGTGAAAAGTTATACACTGTGATGTTGTTGGTAGATCAATCTGTGTATGTGATGTTTCTATAAAATTTGTAAATAAATATATGAGAAGTATGTTGCCATGGTTCTTCCAAGCTGTGTTTGATGCATGTTACAATTAGACAGTAACTCCACTCTGAAATACACAGGCTGTAGATAATTGTTGAAACACAGAAGCGTTGAGTTTAAGTAATAGTTTACACTGATGGAGACTTTTCACTGGAATGTCTGGTCCACACTCGATTATTAACAGACAGCATACAGTTGGAACACTGCTGAGTGCAGCTTTAAACTACAAACAAATCTAATACTGAGTGAGTAAATGTTTTATGCCAGAGCTAATACATCAGGATGAGAAGATCTAGTGGTTTGCATTACAACCATCAGTTCACACTGTCGATCTGACAAGCGCAATCAAATGAATCATACTCAGCAGTATTGCTAGTACATGTAGTATGAACATAGGAGTGAGTGGGGTGAGGTGAGGTGAGGTGAGGTGAGGTGAGGTGAGGTGAGGTGAAATTGGGTTTAACATCGTGCTTGAGAATATTTAAGCTCATATGGCCGACGTGCATGCGTGTGTATGTGTGTAGGTCGCGGCTGCTTTGTACTAGCCCAGACTGAAGCTGGTTTTATAGTGCTAGCCCACTGAGATACCATGCCGCAGTGAAGCACGAATACCCCACTCAGACACATTATACTGACTCTGAGCCGACCAGTCCTTGATGTACCCATTAATGCCGAGCGCCAGGCAGGGACCAGCAAGTACCATATTTTAACGCTCTTTTGGTATGATGCGATCGGGGATCCGAACTCCGTGACCTTCAGCTCTTGAGGCGGACACTCTAACCACTACACCACGGAGGCGCCTAGGAGTGTGAGTGAGTGAGTTGGGTTTTACACCGCTTTTAGCAATATTCAAGCAATATCACGGCTGGGGACACCAGAAATTCACACACTGTACCCATGTGGGAATCAAACTTCGGGTGAGCGCTTTAGCCACTACACGCTACCCCACCACCCCATGAACATAGGAAGTACTAGTAGCAGAGACCATATAATAGATATTATATGGTCTCTGCTAATAGCAATGGGGATTTATGTGAGCAACCAACATCAGCAACATATGGTGTCAGCTGAGGTCACATTTATCAATGTTTTGAGCAAAAGTGGTCAGATTGTAAACAGAACAATAGTCTGAAATATTGTGAATCCAAAGACCAGGGTACAGACCAACAGATCCATAGATACACGGTTCTGATGTGGCAAAAGTGATTGTCACATGTGTCACCAGGTCAAGCAGGTCCTGTTCAGATAAATACATAAACCCCTCTTTCAGAAATAACAAATGAACAGTAGAGAATGGAAGAGGCAAGGAAACAACTCTCCCAGTCTAAGTAAACTAGGTTTTGTTAGACTCAGTATAGCAGTGTAACGAATAATACTGAGCCTAAGTTTACTTAGACTGACAACTCTCCATGACTAATGGTGGCATTTGTACCCAGTCTAAAAACAACCATTTTGACAGACAACAGAAATTAAAGGTTGCAAATATGTTTTATTTTGTCTCGATTCACTTTGACAGTTTATGTGTCTTTGATGATTGTAAATGAGGAACACCATGACTTTGTAACAGAAAAGATGAAACCACTTTTCCCTGGCAGTATGAAGCATGGGACATCAATGTTGACCGAAGTCTCTAAGTACAAGACACACAGACTGAACAACAACGACTTGGCGAGAGTAAAACATCCACCATACTTCCAGGATTACTTCTGACAATAGTTTTATAACTAACCAAATCTTATCATTTATCTAACAATACTAAAGAAGTTGAAATGATAATGATATTTCAAACAGGAAAAGAATGAACTTAAATGTAAATCTGTTTGTCTTTCTCGCACTTTTCATTTGCTTTCAACATACCCACCTTCCCGGCAATGGTATGAACATGTGAAATCCAAATGTTTATCATCACTTGAAAACGTATGTATCACAAACACTTCACTTCACTTGAATCTTTAGCCTCATTTCACTATTTTTGAAATATTTTGGTTGTTTGTTATGTGGGTAAGACTATCCTGGACTAGTCTGTCGTATTGCGACCCTGAAGCAAATATATCCAAGAAAGCCCACACAAGTCTAGAAAGGTGGCAAGTCTAGATTTCCTCAGCTTCAGGAAAAATGAAGAAAGTCTCAGGGCTCCTTTTCATTATATTATTTTTTTTTTTTTACCATGAACCAAAATATGTTCATTTCAGAGACTAGTTGTTAGTCTAATCCTAGACCAAAGTCACTACCTATAGGTGATAAAGGCGTTATCACACTATGGTCCATAAAGCTGTCACATGTGCCCCCAACCAACCCAACCCACCTCTGGTACCCCACACTGTTTCAGAAGCCATCCAACTGTATAAAGATGGCAACAGCAGTCGAAAAACATTTATGAAATGAGGAAAATTATTGGATGTTTCCTCATAAAACAAATGACTTAGAGTTCCTTACGTACGCCCCACCTAATTTGTAACTATAAACTATAGACTAAACTATCGTGTTTGCTCATCACAAAAATAGGCGGGAGGTATGTAAGGAACTCTTTCCGGTGCTGCTATTGTGACAGAAACACACTGCTCCTGACGTCAGTCCTAAACAAGCCCAAAGAGACCTACCTACCAATCTAAAAATAAGTCCGCTTTACTTAGGCTCTTTAGTGAAATGATTTCAAGTTGCTTCAACAAATTAATCCACAGGTCTGCATTCAAAACCATTACTCAGTATATTCAAAATTTGACTCTTCATAAATTTAAAAATCACATTATATCTGTGTTAATTAGAATCAACATTTCAGTTAGGCTTTGCTGATTTACACAGATTTTGCAGATTATACTTTTTAGACTTTGTTTTATGAGACCATAGAGAATGTTGAGCGCGGAGAGTCCTTGGATAGGTGACTGCGTTCGGCAGCTTGCCTCCTGCGTGTTTCTATGACTTCAGTCCTTCTCTACAACAAAGCACATGAGATACATGTGGTCTCACCTTAGGCAAGTGAGTTTGTTCAAACTTGCCTCTGTTCACCCGACAGAAAAATGGGTACCTGGTGGAATAAGTCATGTGACTATAACCTTCTAGCGCCTAACAGGCAGTTTGGGTTATCCGGGGCAATAAGGTACTGTGCTATTGATTGTTAGCGTCATGAGCATACCTAGTGTGGAGTTTGGCGCTATATAAATGGACACATAATTATTATTATTATTATTATTATTAAATTTCGATTTTAACGCAATCCCTACAAAAAACATAATAGACAGACAGATATACAACACAACACCATTACTTGGACCCTAGGAAGTCCAGATGAACGTAACATGATACAACGAGTGTGTAAACCAGGTGGTGCCTGTGGTTAACTGAAAACACATTTCATTTGCCACACTGGAACTTTCTCAACTAGTTGTAAAGACACATGAGTTAATTTGTTGGTCTTGTCAAGTAACTAATAAGTAAGATGCCATCCCACCATCACATCATCTTAACAACTTGTTCAATAACGGAAGAGTTAAAACTACACAATGACCACCACTTGAAAGAGATGAAACAATTTTCTATTTAGAACAGTTAATTGTAAATGAGTGAGCTTTCATGGGATTATTATTGAGTGAGTGAGTGAATGAATGAGTTGAGTTTAACACTGGAACTGTATTCCAGCTATATCATGGCTTGTTAGTGTCAGGAGGGAACAGGGGCGGTGGGGTAGCCTAGTGGTTAAAGAGTTGGCTCGTCACGCCGAAGACCCGGGTTCGAATCCCCACATGGGTACAATGTGTGAAGCCCATTTCTGGTGTCCCCCGCCGTGATGTTGCTTGAATATTGCTAAAAGCGGCGTAAATCCAAACTCAGTCAGTCATGAGGGAACAAAGCCTGACGTGATTCTGTTCTTCTTTACCATGTGGTGAAACCCACCAGCATGGAACTCTCCACAGTGAGTTAGTGTGAGTAAGTTGGGTTTTATGCACCTTTTAGCAATAATCTGGAAATATCACCGTAGAGGACACCAGAAATTGGCTTCACATGTTGTACACGTGGGGAATCGAACCTGGACCTTTGGTGTAACGAGCATATGCTTTAAACAGAAGGCTACCCTTCCAACCCCTCTCCACAGGAACTGCTAAGACAACTGAACCACACATGCCCTTTATATTGATGGGATCCTAGAAGTTCTTTGAGCTGATTTCATTCAGATCAGATCTTCACTGGCTACAACACATGGAGGTTTGGTCTTGACAGAGAAGAATCGAGAATAGAGGATCTTAATGACAGAATATTTTGTAGTCTTCCCAATCAAGTACTCTGGTATCATTTCACAATCTTGTTTGTGCAGGTCTCAGTTGCACCTACACAGGCCAATATATATCTATTGTTCACTAAGTTTGAAAAATGAAAAACAATAAATTTATTTGTCTCTAAATATGATATGTGTCTAAATTCATGGCTTTAAATTCAAACCTCCATTTGTTTTATTCATACGTGTTTTACAAACACAAACTTATTATTTCAATTAAAGATATAATACAAAATAGCTGATGACTGGAAGGCATCATTGGACCAATCATTACAAGAAATGCATTATCTTTCATTCCATATATACTGTGCACATAAAGAAACTGTGCATACAAAAATTTAAAATCTAAATGTATCAAACCTGTGTAGACACAGAAGGATTTAAACTCAGAGATTAGTAACATGTATCCAACATGCATGCATGCATTGCCACGTCAGTTCCGTTACGGCAGTGGTTTTGCCCCTGCATTCGAGGCGCAAATGAATGCCAGACAATACACATGCATTCCGGAAAGAGAATTACAGAGAAATGAGGCCATTGGGATGGTCCGTGGGGGGAATGTCTCAACGACAAGTGGCTGCACTTTTCCACTGCCACCGGAACATCATTGCTGCACTGGTGAGACGCTACCAGAACACAAATGGCGTCATCGATTCGCCACGTTCTGGACTTCCATGTGTAACAACGCCAAGACAGGACAGATGGATAAGGGTGACCCATCTTAACAGGTTTCAGACTGCAGTGATGACTGCCCGAACCATCCCAGGACTTCGCCAGATATCCACCCCAACACAGTTCGACACTGTTTACGTCATCACGGGATCAGACCATGATGTTCCGCCATACGGCCTATCCTGACACAACGCGTCATCGACAAGCTCGCCGAATGTGGTGCGAAATCATGTCCGCAGACCCTTGTTTTGGTGGAGAAATGTTGTTTTAACAGATGAGTCCAGGTTTAACATTTCCCATAGTGATGGATGTCAACGTTCCTATAGACGCTGGGAGAACATTATGCACAGGCCTGTGTCTTGGAGAGGAATCGCTTTGGTGGTGGTTCCGTGATGATTTGGGGTGGAATAACAGCACGCCAAAGAACTCCTTTGGTGATTGTTCAGGGCAACTTAACTGGTGTGGGCTACAGGTATCAGATTCTTCGACCTGTGGCAATTCCTTTCTGCAACTTCATGGCCCTGGGTTAACATTCCTACAGGACAATGCCGCCCTCATACGGCAAGGGTTGCTATGGATTTCTTGCAACACAACAACGTTGACTTACTGCCTTGGCCTGCAAATTCACGGATCTCTCCCGATAGAGCATGTTTGGGACGAGATGGATCGACGTCTACGCCGTCTTCTAATCCGCCAGAAAACGTTTGACGACCTTGCAACAGAACTTGAGAGAATCTGGCGTGACATCCCACAAGCCTTCCTTGCATGTTTGATAGGCTCTATGCGTCGTTGATGCACTGCTGTTCTCAATGCCGATGGTGGACATACCGTTATTGAGCTTGTGACATGGTTGTTTGACCCCTGTCCCACTTGTGGACTTGTGACGTCATTGTGATTGACTTTTCAATTGAAATTCTCCGACTTGTTATGGTCTCATGATCCCTCCATTAAAGTTTATATGTACCTTTGACATTGTTATTGTACTTATCAACTGGGATAATATTTGACAATGCACAGTTTCTTTATGTGGCTAGTATAGTTTTACTTCTGACAGTTCTTTCAACAGATTATTCAATTTTACCACTTATTTAATTTTATAGTATTTTCAATGTGTGACCAAATAGTGGTATATACTACCCATCAAAAGTTTAGACTCACTAGTGTAAACGTAGCCACTTACTTCGGTCAACTGTTCTAAACTAGATTTTGCAAACCATTCCATACTGTTTAAAGGTACTTTTTACACATGAACTGATGTATTGTAAAACAAATTCGTAACGTAGAAAAGATTATTGTTATGAGTTCAATAAATGATGAAACTCATTGAAAATTGGCGAATTCTTAACAAAATTTTACACAAAAATGCCGCTCTTCACATGCACGATATTTGCACATGCTTTTCAGCAATTTAATGATTGATCCTCGAGCAAATTCATCTGCATAAGGTTTGCAGTTGGTTCCCCCAAGTTAGTGGAGAAATTCATCTTCGATGTAACCTCATATATATACATAACATATAGTGAGTGCCTTAAATGATTCTAAACTTTTGATGGCTAGTATATTTTCTCTCAATAATCAAGACTGGAAAACATCACAAGACAGCTCAGTTAGCAGTTTTACGGTCATGATGCAAACAATTGTCACACACACTCCAAATTCTATTAGTCTCAATCCTGACTTGACGGTCCCTCCTTCAGCTGTCTGGTTGTCATGACGCGTCTTCCAGTGCTCTGAGCTCCTCTTCAAGTATCCCTTTCCTTGTCAGCTTCTCCTTCTGCTCTGGACTCAGCTCTGAGCCGCCCTTGGCCTTCACCTCCAGCTCCTGGATCTGTTTCAACTTTTTCTTCAGGTTCCTGATCTTCTTCACGGTATCTGTAGCAGTACTGGACGGGCCTGTCGCTGGTGTGGACTCCACTTGGACCTTATTGTCTTGCTTTTCCGGTTGCGTTGTGGACTTCTCTGACTTTTTGCTCTGTTTGGAGCTTGATTTAGAGTCTTTGTTTTCCGGCATTTCAGCTGATTTGGAGGGGGGGGAGTCTGGAGCAATATGAATGTCTTCTATAGAGTTCAAAACTTCATCTACTTTCTGTTGCTCCATCAACTTTTTGCGTTCTCGTTTCTTAGCGTTTTTCTTGGCTGCTTTGGACATAGGAGCCTGGGGCAGTTCTCCCTCCTTGGCCTGCTGATGTCTCTCCACGTCCTCTGGAGACAGGCCGATCGGGTGGTCAGGGCGGCTCTTCATCCACTGGACGCCTTTATTCTCATACCTACAACATACACAAGGGTTTTATTGGGGGCAACATATGTCATCTTTCCATGCAAAGTGTGATGGATGCCAATTATGAACTTTGTGAGTTCTGGGCGTGTAAATGTGTTGAAAACATTCCACCTTTCAAAATTGTAGATTGAATGTGTCGTGTCGGTATTGTCAGATGCGGTATATTTCGTTTCGCTCATGAGTATGTGTTTTGTAAAAACGAGATGACCGGATGTAATAAATGGAGCATGTGGCGGAAAAAAGGTGAGGTGAGGTGAAATTGGGTTTAACGTCGTACTTGAGAATATTTCGCTCATATGACGACGTGCATGTGTGTGTATGTGTATGTGCAGCTGCTTGTACTAGCCCAGACTGAAGCTGGTTTTATAGTGCTAGCTCACTGAGATACCATGCCGCAGTGAAGCATGAATACCCCACTCAGACACATTATACTGACTCCGAGCCGACCAGTCCTTGTTGTACCCATTCGTGCCGAGCGCCAGACAGGGAACAACAAGTACCATATTTTAACGTCTTTTGGTATGACGCGATCGGGGATCGAACCCGCGACCTTCCGCTCTCCGGGCGGACGCTCTAACCACTACACTACGGAGGCGGTCTGGCGGAAAAAACACAAACTGTTGTGTGGTAAATAAGACTGCAGATGTAACTGAATTGTAATACTGCAAATAACATTGGTGACGAGGATCTATGACATGCCTATTCTGATAAGGAGTTACAAAATACACAAGTGTGTTTAGTGTGTCAGTGATGCTTGTTTTTCAATGCAACATTGATAATGACATTCCTATCCAAAGTAGGTGCTGACTACCAACCAATGACATGACATCAGTAATCTTAGAAATATGTGTATAGCTAACTTGATACCCTTATTCGATGCTCTGGACCCTAAAATCACAAATGAAAACTCTCTGGACTCAAAAACAGACATGCCAAATTAAATATCTGATAAGCATGGACATGATTTACCTCCCTTTGGTATTACTCTTGTTATACATTGTGCCATTGTTGATAATACACTCATCATGGTTTTGTGAAACTTGTCATCTTCAGGTAGAAAGAAGATGACAGATGATCCAGTCATAGCCAGGGTCATGACAAGAAGTCTGCACCAGTGGACCATCAAAGGGACACAACTCTAACAAGCTACCTATAAACAAGACATATCAAGAAAGGGTGCCTAGGTTCACCATTGGTTTGTTTGTTATTTAATGTTAACTCAGCAATATTCCAACTATATTGACACTAATGACCAAGTTTTCAGAAAGACATAGCACTGTTCTGAGCTTTGAAGTTGATACAAGGTCAAGGTTTGATTATGTAAGCCCACTGAGCCAACATACTGCAGCTTAACATTGATACTGTACTCAGACACTGTATACTGACACTGAGCCAACATACTGCAGCTTAACATGGATACTGTACTCAGACACTGTATACTGACACTGAGCCAACATACTGCAGCTTAACATAGATACTGTACTCAGACACTGTATACTGACACTGAGCCAACATACTGCAGCTTAACATGGATACTGTACTCAGACACTGTATACTGACACTGAGCCAACATACTGCAGCTTAACATGGATACTGTACTCAGACACTGTATACTGACACTGAGCCAACATACTGCAGCTTAACATGGATACTGAACTCAGACACTGTATACTGACACTGAGCCAACATACTGCAGCTTAACATGGATACTGAACTCAGACACTGTATACTGACACTGAGGCAACATACTGCAGCTTAACATGGATACTGAACTCAGACACTGTATACTGACACTGAGGCAACATACTGCAGCTTAACATGGATACTGAACTCAGACACTGTATACTGACACTGAGCCAACATACTGCAGCTTAACATGGATACTGAACTCAGACACTGTATACTGACACTGAGCTTACATAGCAGCTTAACATAGATACTGAACTCAGACACTGTATACTGACACTGAGCCAACATACTGCAGCTTAACATGGATACTGAACTCAGACACTGTATACTGACACTGAGCCAACATACTGCAGCTTAACATGGATACTGAACTCAGACACTGTATACTGACACTGAGCCAACATACTGCAGCTTAACATGGATACTGAACTCAGACACTGTATACTGACACTGAGCCAACATACTGCAGCTGAACATGGATACTGAACTCAGACACTGTATACTGACACTGAGCCAACATACTGCAGCTTAACATGGATACTGAACTCAGACACTGTATACTGACACTGAGCCAACATACTGCAGCTTAACATGGATACTGAACTCAGACACTGTATACTGACACTGAGCCAACATACTGCAGCTTAACATGGATACTGAACTCAGACACTGTATACTGACACTGAGCCAACATAGCAGCTTAACATGGATACTGTACTCAGACACTGTATACTGACACTGAGCCAACATACTGCAGCTTAACATGGATACTGTACTCAGACACTGTATACTGACACTGAGCCAACATACTGCAGCTTAACATAGATACTGTACTCAGACACTGTATACTGACACTGAGCCAACATACTGCAGCTTAACATGGATACTGTACTCAGACACTGTATACTGACACTGAGCCAACATACTGCAGCTTAACATAGATACTGAACTCAGACACTGTATACTGACATTGAGCCAACATACTGCAGCTTAACGTGGATACTGTACTCAGACACTGTATACTGACACTGAGCCAACATACTGCAGCTTAACGTGGATACTGAACTCAGATACTGTATACTGACACTGAGCCAACATACTGCAGCTTAACATGGATACTGAACTCAGATACTGTATACTGACACTGAGCCAACATACTGCAGCTTAACATGGATACTGTACTCAGACACTGTATACTGACACTGAGCCAACATACTGCAGCTTAACATAGATACTGTACTCAGACACTGTATACTGACACTGAGCCAACATACTGCAGCTTAACATAGATACTGTACTCAGACACTGTATACTGACACTGAGCCAACATACTGCAGCTTAACATAGATACTGTACTCAGACACTGTATACTGTCACTGAGCCAACACCAGCCCCAGGCTTTTACTTGGGCGACCCCAATTACTTATTTCAACTGTCCTTAGAGAAAATGAAGACATCTGTACAGTTATCATGGTAATGTAATAGTGTAATGGTGCTGTGGATGGAACCATACGTTTTGATAATTACTCAAACAACAGAACTTAAATATTCTGTCTCAGGAATATTGTTGCAATGACTATTATGGTTCTTTTCTGCACCCATTCTATACATAGGTGCATACTGGACAATAAGTTGTGTAAAGCCTACAGTTTATCCCCTGATTGGCAGGCAGGGTGACAACAAGTACCATCTTTAACATGGTATTGGTGGTTGAGTACCTCTGTGGCACTTCCCTCTGTGGCCTATGAGATTTTAACATGGTATTGGTGGTTAAGTACCTCTGTGGCACTTCCCTCTGTGGCCTATGAGATGTTAACATGGTATTGGTGGTTTAGTACCTCTGTGGCACTTCCCTCTGTGGCCTATGAGATTTTAACATGGTACTGGTGGTTTAGTACCTCTGTGGCACTTCCCTCTGTGGCCTATGAGATTTTAACATGGTATTGGTGGTTTAGTACTTCTGTGGCACTTCCCTCTGTGGCCTATGAGATGTTAACATGGTATTGGTGGTTTAGTACTTCTGTGGCACTTCCCTCTGTGGCCTATGAGATGTTAACATGGTATTGGTGGTTTAGTACCTCTGTGGCACTTCCCTCTGTGGCCTATGAGATTTTTAACATGGTACTGGCGGTTTAGTACCTCTGTGGCCTATGAGATTTTAACATGGTTTGGTGGTTTAGTACTTCTGTGGCACTTCCCTCTGTGGCCTATGAGATGTTAACATGGTATTGGTGGTTTAGTACTTCTGTGGCACTTCCCTCTGTGGCCTATGAGATGTTAACATGGTATTGGTGGTTTAGTACTTCTGTGGCACTTCCCTCTGTGGCCTATGAGATGTTAACATGGTATTGGTGGTTTAGTACCTCTGTGGCACTTCCCTCTGTAGCCTACGAGATTTCACACCTCGTTAATTGAAAATGGTCACCTGTACCTCTGTGGCACGTGGCCTCTACTCAATTTCCCTCTGTGGCCTATGATGTGTGACAGAGACAAGTGCCACAGAGGGAAGTTATTGAGGGATCGAACCACCAAACAGTAGATGCCCTGAGCACTAGACCACAGATGAGGCCACCTACATCAGAATCTGTCAGTAGATGCCCTGAGCACTAGACCACGGATGAGGCCACCTACATCAGAATCTGTCAGTAGATGCCCTGAGCACTAGACCACAGATGAGGCCACCTACATCAGAATCTGTAAGTAGACCACTTGATGAGGCCACCTACATCAGAATCTGTCAGTAGATGCCCTGAGCACTAGACCACAGATGAGGCCACCTACATCAGAATCTGTCAGTAGATGCCCTGAGCACTAGACCACGGATGAGGCCACCTACATCAGAATCTGTCAGTAGATGTCCTGAGCACTAGACCACAGATGAGGCCACCTACATCAGAATCTGTCAGTAGATGCCCTGAGCACTATACCACAGATGAGGCCACCTACATCAGAATCTGTCAGTAGACGTTATAATCATTGATACCGTGGCTGGGCCATGTCACACTCACACTGGTACTTCCTCCTGGGGAACATAGCCTTCCTTCACTCTCCTCGGCTTCCTCCATGACCCGTCCGGGGAAATAGCCTTCCTTCACTCCGGTCGTCGACTCCCAGGAATTAACAACTCACCTGGAAGAACAAACACAATTCTCTACTGACCTTTACAGCTAATGAGCAGTACACATTACAAACTGTTGATACAGTAGTTGTACCAAACTTGATTTTCGCAAGGGAATTTCAAATTTCCTTGAATTAATATTGATGGCAACATGGCTCTGTATGTTATTGACAACATACTTGACTATTGCCCTTCATACATACTTGTGAAAAACATTTATCTGTCATTTAATATTAACTACATTAACCTTGTCTTATGGGCTTTCTGACACATTAGTATTTACAGACCACCGCCATATAGTTAACATATTGCTGAGTGCGGCGTAAAACTAAACTCACTCACTCCCTCTGACACACTAGAAACATTTGTTCTTATATTATCTAATACCATGAATGACTATAAATCAGCTCACTAACTTATAAAAATAAATTTACCCTAAACATGAGCCATCAGTAAAAAATGTCTGTGTAATGCAACATCCCCTGTTATTGACCGAGTAAGTACTGCTGTTCGAAAGTGTTTGAGATCTGTGAACCTATGATCCGACAATAATATGAGGGAATATGGGTGATCTTTAAGTTAGTATCCATAGAAGATATCTTGTTGACGACATCCAATCATACATAATATAAATCATGTGAAAACAGTCTGGGCCTATGTTTGTTTTGTTTAGATGGTTGTTGTACATGACACGTTCAGCAATATTTCAGCCATATGACGGGGGTCCGACGGGGGTCTGTACATATTTAAGTCCAAACCAGAAAAAAACAGTAACTGACACCGAGCATCGATCGACAAGACTTGTGTCTAGGACAATACGAGATCGACTTTTGATAGTTAGAAATCTTATTCTTCTGAAGTTTACGAGTAGGACTTCTAAACATAAAAAACTGCACTTTCCGCAAGCATAACAATATTTCAGTATATCGTCTAGCATCCATCTGAAAACCCGATACTTTTAATATTGAAAATATTACGATGTCTTTCTTATTTCACTTTCCAACTTTCCAGAAGAAAAAAAATCATGACATGTGCCTGTGGAACTTTGACTGTTCTCAAACGAAATCTGCTGCCAACACATGTTATCGTCACCATTTATCTATAAGCAAGGTATTTTGTATCATGTATCACACAATCAATCTCTACGTAAACGCTTGAAGTCGAAATAACCTGTTTGTTCATCGCGAACAACCCCTAACCGCTCAGGCACAGCCATGATGTATCGACTTAGGGGAAGTAACCCATTTCTAGTTTTACGGCAGACCGCAGAAAATGGCAGTGCGACAACAGAACATACGTTTTAAATATGCAACAGCTGGTGTTCTAGGACATCGATAACCATTATGGATCTCTTGTTGGTAGCTTGCGCAACAACAACAACGACACCATAAACATAAAGAAAAACAAACACAACTACTACGACAACATTTACTGATTTCCACGTATTATATACGTACTACTGTACCCGGTGTTGGAAGTTGTTCATGATTTCGATCATAAGATTATCTGGTCAAGATTCTATCATTCCTGATCGTGGCGTTATTATAGATGAGATGACAGAGGTTTGACGATGGGTTCATTGTTATTGCTGCGATGGGTTTCATTATTATTGCTGCGATGGGTTAGCCCTCGCTCATCACGCCACAGACCCGGGTCCGATTTCCCACATGCGTGTCAATGTGTGAAGCCTATGTCTGGCGTCCCCTGTTGTGATATTACTGGAATATTGCTAGAAGCGGAGGAAAACCTGACTCCCTCACCCAAGATTATCCCGATTCTGTGTGTGCGTGTGTGCGTGTGCGTGTGCGTGTGCGTGTGCGTGTGTGTATTGATGACTTATTTTAAAATTCTAGCCTGCTCGTACTAATTCGGCCTCAGGCAGGGCAATAACAAGTATCATCTTCGAACGTCTTTTGGTTTGACGTGGTCGGGATCGGACCTCCGACCTTCCTCTGTGAGAGGAAGGTCGGTGGTCCGATTATTCAGCACAGAGAGTAGAACCGGGACAGCGATCAACAACAAAGGAATATACGTCCACTTACAATGCACCTCTCTTGGGCGTGCCACAACCTATATACGGTCGAGGGATCGAGTGCCAGAAAACGCCTTGTTTTATATTAATGGCTTGTCAGCTCCATGTCCATTATCTTCTGTGAGTAATGGTGTCTTAAAGTTGACATCGAATGATTTCCTTTACCGTGATAGCCGATTTCTGGCCATTGTAATCAATATCTATCCTTTACTCTTAAAGATCCGTAAGTCGGAAGGGGCGACCAAATCGATGGATTCAGGTGCTTGGATGTTGCGTGTGGTTGTGTCCAAATTGCGATGAATGTTGTCACAGAATGTCTGGTCCAGACATTTTTTTACAGACCCCCGTCATATAGTTGGATTGTCGTTGAGTGCAATGTGTATATCTTACGTACACTCATCCTCGATAATCTCCAGGGTATACGTTACGATCACTCTCCACTATACCCTGGATGCATCCACGGCTTGGCCCGATGATTTTATTACCCCCCTTGGCTGGCTTTTTATCCAGTCAGGCGTCTACGCTGGGAAGTTGAGCGAACCAATCACAACTCACTTTCGCTTCTTAAATTATCTAACCGTTTAAACTTGGCAACACAAGTGATGCAGAGGGTACTCTGAAAGATGTGGAAGGAGTTCTTTTATATATTTTTTGAAAGTTTCAGATCTGTCAATTTGTGTGTATTATTTACCAAAAAATCTGAGTGGTACTGCGAACAAACCTTCGCGACTGCGACCGCTGTCTTTGTTGACACTGGCAAGCTCGGATGTAACGGCGGCTTAGCTGATTGGCTGCTGTGAGAATGCGGAGCCAGCCAAGGGAGGTAATAAAATCATCGGGCCAAGCCGTGGATGCATCCAGGGTATAGTGGAGAGTGATCGTAACGTATACCCTGGAGATTATCGAGGATGACGTACACTGTACAGCGCAGATTGTTCTTATGCATAGCACTAGTACCTACACAGTGAAACTGATGTGTGTATATACCTAACTAGCTACACCTAGTACTTAGCTGATATATGTACTGACTGACTGACTGAGTTTGGTTTACGCCGCTTTTAGCAATATTCCAGCAACATCACGGCGGGGGACACCAGAAATGAGCTTCACACATTGTACCCATGTGGGGATTCGAACCCGGGTCTTCAGCGTGACGAGCCAACGCTTTAACCATTAGGCTACCCCACCGCCCCCTGATATATGTATAGCTGAAGTAGCTAATATACGTGTAGCTCCACTTCATCATGTATACACGTGGGCCCTTATTCAGCACCACCGGAATCCAGGGGCAGTCCTTATAGCATTATGGTCCAAACAGGCGATCACAACCTTGGATACAGGAATGCACATGTAAAGCACGTGCTTCACCCAATATCTCGGAAGCTTTGGGTCGCATGTTCACGTGCTGCAATGGCGCCAGGCACAATGGGGTATAACTGTTGTAATTGCATTATATGCGCTACAGTTTTGTGATGTGATTTAAAAGACGACAGTACTAAAATGAGCGTGTGAGTGAGTGAGTTGGGTTTTACGCCGCTTTTAGCCAAACAGGCGATCACAACCTTGGATACAGGAATGCACATGTAAAGCACGTGCTTCACCCAATATCTCGGAAGCTTTGGGTCGCATGTTCACGTGCTGCAATGGCGCCAGGCACAATGGGGTATAACTGTTGTAATTGCATTATGTGCGCTTCAGTTTTGTGATGTGATTTAAAAGACGACAGTACTAAAATGACCGTGTGAGTGAGTGAGTTGGGTTTTACGCCGCTTTTAGCAATATTCCAGCAACATCACGACGGGGGGACACCAGAAATGGGCTTCACACATTGTACCCATGTGGGGAATCGAACCAGGGCCTTCGGCGTGACGATCGAACGCTCGAACGCATCCTTCTGGATCCGCCTATGGTAGGGTTCATTATAGTCTGATGTAGGTCGCTGTCTTCTACACTTTACCGACGGGCCGTTGCTGCGTATGAAGACGTCGTAACGAGGCATATCACCAGAAGATGATCAATGCAGATGAACCCTTTGGTCGTAACTCGATGATGGTGTGCGGTTACGTTTCGTATGACTGCAATTTGGATTTCATTATAGTACTTTGGACACTCAGTTGAAAGCGTCATCAACAGGAAGTACTGGGTACCGCCGTCGTGCCACATTTTGATAACTATCCCCTTGCAGTCGCCCGCTATTCATGGACGACAAACATTACAGTTCTCAAGACGTTATCGCGCATTTTCAGAACAACGCCATCGAAACATTACCATGGCCCGCAAGCAGCCCAAATATGAACCCCATCGAATATCTTTTACGAACTATCTTGGACTCAAGTTCGAGCTAGAGTCTGTTTATAGAAAACAATGTGACAATCATATAGGTTGCATAGTTAAGGTGGCCATGTGCATGCTTTCAGGCATTGTTGATCTTAATGTTTTTGTATATTCCTCTCAGAGAAAATCGCTACCAACTTTTGTTTTCAGTTTAATCATAGCAAAACATGTTAAGCTAGTATACGCGGAAGTTGTTTTTCAAAGCATATACAACATGTAGTATATCCGCAATCATCATATAGAAACAGTGTGTGGTGCTTGATTAAAACTCATGTTTATATTTCCTAGAAAAGAGAATTTTGTCAACAAATGTGTTTGTGATACAGGAAGCTCATAAATTTATGTTCAAACTACTATGCAATACTGAATTCATTTGCATCAGTTCTCAGACTGGGATGACTGTGCTACAATCTGTACATCCTTTGAGTCACTCTGTGTTGTTGCTTAGCTTCCGATGCGACACCGAGGTACTCACACGCAGGAAGTCAATATCTCGTCTGAAGTGTCACAAAGGCGATCGTAAGTGCGACGCCTGTTCCGACATGCTGAGGAAACCATTTGTACTTCCGGTGGATCGGTCGGTCACCATGTCTGTTTACGGTGCTCCGTCCCAAGACTTATCTGTGTGTTTAACGGACCTGATGTGACGATAGGCCTTATATTCTACTGACAGTTAATTGACTTATTCGATTTACGATCCTGGCTATATCATGGGCTCGTGTTCACGAATCACTATCAAATTGCGATGATACGAGGTGTTCGTAAAAGTGACAGCATATCCTGCCCAACAGGTCGCACTCGTTACATTTTCAAAATACGGAACCGCATCGGACATACTTTTTGTCACTGATGCCTTAAATTTGCATGTGTGTTCCCCATGTCTGTCATAAAACCTTTTGAATTTGAAAATTTGAAATTTTTGGAGAAATAATTTGTAGCGTGCTCGAATATAGTTGAAAAGCTCAAATATGAACAGCAAAACATGGCGTTACAGGGATGTTGCTCGTCATGAAGGGTGAGTGAGTGAGTGACAGAGTATAGTTTTACTCCGCTTTTAGCAATATTCCAGCAATATCACGACGGGGGAAACCAGAAATGGGCTTCACATTGTGTGGTGTGTGGTGTGTTGTGTTGTGTTGTGTTGTGTTGTTGCGTGGCGTGGCGTGGCGTGGCGTGGCGTGGCGTGGCGTGGTTATGTGGTGAGGAAGGATAACGATGTATGGACGAACAACTTCTATATCACAGTCAGAGCCACGTTTCGGTTTCGGCGTCACATCCGCAAGAACAGTCTGGCGGGTCCGATATATTTCTGCAATACATTTTTGCGTTAACGTTACTTCAACCGAGCCTGCGGCGGCAGTGAATGATTTAACAAAACCGAGATTGAAAATGAGGTCATAATGTGTATTATTGTCTGATCTTGTTATAAACGTTTTACAACTAGAACAGTCTGGTATAGTTCCAAGCCACCGTCGTGTAGCTGTAATATTGGTGCGTGCGAGATTAAACTATAAACCAACCAAACCATGTAAGAAAACAAAAAATGTATCAAGTGAAAGCGTAATCAGTAGTAGTGGGGCCCCTGATACTACTGTTTTCTTTTTACGTCGTAAAAATACTTTGAAACCACCCCCAGCGTAAGCAGTATAACTGAAGTTGGTCGAGGTCAAAGGGTTTACTTCCGCTGTGGTCACAGGCAAGAGGGCGATTCTCAGTGTTTACAAATATCGTAATCGCCCAGTGACGCATATGGAAATCCCAGTCTGTGTAGTCTGTCCAAGCCGACACAGGCGACGTTAGCTGTGATTACGATCCGTAGCTCTGGGCGCGACGTCTGCTGATCAAATAATGTGACAATTTCAAGCCAGGACTCTCTTTCAAAGGT